TACCATATGAGTTAGGAATAGTATGAATAATGCTTTGTGTGTGTGTGTGATAGGATGCATCTTTTAAAAATTTATTTAAATTTTTACTTAAATTCAATTAATCAACATATAGTGTATTATTAGTTTCAGAGTAGAGTTCAGTGATTAATCAATTGCATATAACACCCAGTGCTCATTACATAATGTACCCTCCTTAATGCCCATTACCGGTACCCCATCCCCCCGAATAATGCTATTTTTATGTACTGAAGCTTTATTTGACCTTGAAAATATAAGTTGAATGGTTAAGACCACTGCCTGTGGTAGTTTGTAATTATCACGAAAGAAATATAAAACCCATTAAGGTAATCTGTTTTATGAAATTAAGATACAGATTAAATTTCAAAATGGAAAAATATCTTTGATAAACAGTTCCAATTATAGTCTTGCTCTTTCTCTTTTTTAAATAACAGAAATTGATCTTAAAGAAGCACAAAGATTTTTTGCTCAAAAATTCTCCTGTGGTGCCTCAGTAACAGGAGAGGATGAAATCATCATTCAGGGAGACTTTACAGATGACATAATTGATGTCATTCAGGAAAAATGGCCAGAGGTGAGTAGGTAGAACATGGGTACCTGTGGATATAAGTTTTTAAAGCAAGTTGCTTCATGTTACCTGATACCACAATTCATGAGATGTAATTATTTGTGTTTTATAGGTGGATGATGATAGCATTGAAGATCTTGGAGAAGTGAAGAAGTGATTTTGAAAACTTGTCTCTATTTAATGATCTGAACTGAGAGTTGATATGGCCAAAGGGAGAGAGGCCTTTTAAAAATATATATATTTATCCTACAGTAAAACTGTAGATTACCCTCACCCTTGGCATTTTCACTGTTCTATATAAGGCTGCTTGTTTTTTTTATTGCCAAAGTCTAATAAACAGGGGAGACTGTCATGCTTATGCATGAAATAGAATTTAGTCAAATAAAAATTTTTGGTCATTTGGTACTGACTTTTCTCTTTCTCTTATTAACTTTTTATTTTTGGAAAAATATTAGATTTTTTGTGCAGAGCTTTTTTGTTTATTATCTTAAAATCATGATTTAATGAAATCATGATTTAAAGCTGAGTAATATTTTAAAGAATTTGAATTTTGGCTTCATCACCATTAATAACTGTCTCCTTGCTTCTTTGGTGTGATACTTTTGAGATGCTTGGGCATCTAATAGATTTGTGGTTGAATTTGCTTCACTGTTACCAACCAAGTCCACTTCGAGGTCACATTAACTTAATGTTGGTAGGGGTTGTTCACACTGTTCTGGAGATTATTTGGTAAAGTATATTAAAGCCTTAAAACCATCTGCAGTCTGACCCAGTAAGCCACTTAGTTGACATTATCCTAAAGATAGAATCATTCTTGCTTAAAACTGTGGGTGAGGGTGTTCATCACAATGTTACTCATAAATGCAAAAAAAATTACAACTGATACAAATGAACAATTGGGAAATGGTTAAAGAATGATGGTGCACCATATGGTAGAATATTATGCATATGTTTTAAAATATTTTCTAAAAGTACTTTGGAAACCTGTTTGGTGATTTTAAGTGGGGAGCAGACCCCAAATTCATTTTATACGTTATCACCACCGTTGTTTTGAGTGGAAGGCCATTCAGAGATGCTGCTGAGTTCTTGTTCTAGCAGTCTGCTAGCCAATTGAAAAGAATATACACTGATACTCAATATAAATATGGTCTGGGAAATAGCAATTGAAATGAGTCTTTCTCAGAAACAGTGACAATGAATTTTAACGAATGCACTGAACGAATTTAAACTTTGTTTTTATAAAGGTCTTAAGTCAGGCTCTACAAATTGAAAAGAAGACTCCAGGTATTTTAAATTGCTATAGATACCTTTAAGAAATTTAGAACCCATTGTTTATTGCCATGCAAATTACAACCTTGAATGAATGTGTGGTTTTTTAAATAATTAAAATCTTAGAAAAAATGTGTAATAAAGATGCAAATTAAGAAAACAGAATTCTGCATTAACTGGATTTTACTGAATAGGAGTATCTGATGAAGCAAATTTACCCATCAAGATCATTTGGTATGTGTTGTGTATGTATCCTGTTGGTGCTGGAAGATGTCTGTGCCTCTATCAACTATGTGACTTCATGTAAAGACTCTCAGTGTTCACAGTTCTTGGCAAATGCAGTTTTAATCCATATAAAGCCAGCAGTGGATGTTACTGCAGGATAATGGAGGATTAAAATTGTCCTTGTGTATAACATGTGTGAATCTTTTTCTTTGACCTGAAATTTAAAATGGAGCATTAGTTTAATCTCTGATTAAAATGTGCTAAATTCAAGGATTGACTTTAATTCATACATTCTCTTTATGTATTATGTAAATGTTTTTGCGGGCTAGTATTTTTAGCAAAAAGAGTACTAACCTTTAAACAGCCTTATGTCATAATTGTAAACGATTTGCTGCAGTTAAGCTGGCAACTTAAATGCAAACCCAGCTTTGATATGTAGTATTTTATTCTCTTAAAAAAAATAGATGCGGACAAGTGATTTTACATTCTGTTTTAGTTACTACATAGAAGCCTCAGTAAATCAGCTGTTGCTTAAGATAAAATACATGGTAAAGGAGCCTGGGTGGCGCAGTCTATTAAGCGTCGAACTCTTGGTTTTGGCTCAGGTTGTGATTTCAGGGTCCTTAGATCCAGCCCCCCATCAGGCTCTGAGCTCAGTGCTGAGTCAGCTTGAGATTCTCTCTCCCTGCCCTCTGCCCTTCTGTCCCTCCCACTTGTGCTCTCTCTAAACCTATTTATTTTAGAGTACCAAGCCAACTCTGCCCTGAACGCATAACCTTTTGCAGGACTCCATCTCAGGACCCTGAGATCACGACCTGAGCCAAAACCCAAGAGCTGGATGCTTAACGACTGCGCCACCCAGGTGCCCCATAAATCTTAAAAAAAAAAAAAAAAAAGATACATGGTAGGTTTTTTCCTCTTAGTTAAAAAAATGTGATAAATTGCAATTTTAAAGATGAAGACTACCATTTAGATCCTGTTTTTGTTATTTTCTAAATTACTTAGGAAATAAGGTAGGGAGACAGGAATGAGTCTGTTTAGTTCCATCAGTTAGACTGAGTGTAAAATCAGATGCGGTATAATGCTGGGAGCTGCCTTTTTTTTTTTTTAAAGATTTATTTATTTATTTATTTATTTGAGAGAGAGCTTGCAAGTGTATGGGGTGGGGGGCAGAGGGAGAGGGAGAAGTAGGCTCTCCACTGAGCCTGATGTGGGGCTCGAATCCAGGACCCTGGGATCATGACCCGAGCTGAAGGCAGACTTTTAACTGACTGAGCCACCCAGGTACCCCTGCTTGGAGCTTTCATAAAACGTTTTATATATTTTTAAAAGATATCTTTAAAGGTCTTTTCTGTTTCATTTTTTTGAGGAGGGGAGGGGCAGAGCAAGAGAATCCTAAGCAGGTTCCATGGCCAGTGTGCAGCCCTAGGTGGGGCTGATCTCTGAGAAAATGACCTGAGCTAAAATCAAGAGTGGGATGCTCAACTGACTGAGCCACCCAGGCGTCTCTCTTTTCTATTTTAAAGAAAACCTGTGGGAGTGAGTGAACTTAAAATACTGAGGGTTTTTGATATGCAACTAGTCATCATACTCTTACCACATAAAATTTACTTACAACTATAATCCCATAAAATGAGCCTCATTTCTTACTATTTTCTGTATACAAAGTATACTATATATATTTAAAAGATTTTATTTCAGAGTGCATGGGGTAGGGTGAGGGAGGGGCAGAGGAACGAGGAGACTCCCGGATGAGCAAGGAGGCCAACAGGGAGCTCTGGATCCTGAGATCATGACCTGAGCCAAAGTTAGGCTCTTAACCCTCTGAGCCACCCAGGCACCCACTGGATTATTTTTTTAAGTAATCTCTACACCCGATGTGGGTCTCCAACTCAGGACCCCGAGATCAAGAGTAGCAGCTCCACCCGGTTGGCCAGGTGCCCCTGCACACATACTTTTAGAGAGTTTTAGGTATGTGGTTGCCTGGTAGAAAAACGCCACATTTTAACAATGGTGAAATTTGGGAAACCTGAATTGAAATGCTCCTTAACTGGAAAGTTGACATTCAACCACATTCCTTTTTATCTTTCTCATTCCACTAAGATTTAATTGTACAGTCATCTACTGATAGGATGCTTTTTTTTTTTTTTTTAAAGATTTTATTTATTTATTCATGAGAGACAGAGAGAGAGAGAGGCAGAGGGAGAAGCAGGCTCCCAAGGAGCAGGGAGCCCGATGCGGGACTCGATCCCAGGACCCCGGGATCATGACCTGAGCCGAAGGCAGACGCTTAACGACTGAGCCACCCAGGCGCCCCTGATAGGATGCTTTTAACTAGGAACTTGCTTTCCCGAAAAGACAAAACAAAACACACACACACACCCAGAATGTGGTAGATTTTGTCATGACCAAGTGCCCAAGTTCTCATTGTTATTCAAAAGCTTCATCAAGAGTCAAAAAGACAAAACACACACACACACACACACACACACCCCACCCCCTCCCCCCCCGCCGCCGCCTCAATCTGTGATTCGTAGTTTCGAGCTGTGTGCTAGAATGGCTAGCAGCTGCTAACTACCGGGGCTGGCGTCTGCGTCCGTCCAGGTATTCGGGTGAACGGCCAGGTACCGTTCTCAGTGCCCGGTGTGCACAGCGGCCGACAAGACCGGGAAAGAAGTGAGCAGCTCAACTGTCAAAACTGCGGTGGCGGGGGCAGAAACGGCCTTTAATTTGCTTCCTCGTTCGCTGGCTAACGGCGAAGAACCGGTTCTTTGCGGACGGTGGCTGACGGACCTCACAACCGCAGACCAACCTTCCCAGAGCCCGCAGCCCCGACCCGCACGCGCGAGAGCCAGGAGGGCGCACCTCAGCTCTCGCGAGAGCCGGGGTGGCCCCTCGGCGACGCCGTAGGCGGGGCCGGCGGGCGCGTTCCTCTGGGCGGGCGGTTTGGGGCCTTACTCGGAGCGGCCGAGGGCGCGGGGCTCCGGGGTTCGGGGCTCGCCCCCCCCGCTCCGGGCAGGCGCGCCTATGGCGTTTGTAAGGTGACGCTGCGCTCACCGACTTTCTCCGGGGGCGGAGGAAGCACCCATGAACCCTTCGGCGACCTTCCTCGTCGGGCGCCAGGTGAGCGGCCGCCGCCGGCTCAGCGTCTCCGCTGGAGCGTCGGGGTGCGAGTGGACCGCGAGCCTCGCGGGGCGGGGAGCAGTCTGGCCGAACCGGGGTGGTTTTAAGGAACGGTTTCTGCTTAAGATGTAAAGCGATACACAGTACGAAGAGGAGAAACGGGGCGTCGCATCTGGCCCCTTTCCTTAGTAAGAACGACATCCGGCCCGGGCGCCGAGACGGGCGGCGAGTAACTGGGTGCTCACTGTTTAACGACACTTGGGCGTTTGGAGAGCAGCTTTTCTGTGCGCCGCCTCGCTTCCTGCCCTTAATTTCCTTCACGGTAACATGCGAGGGGACGAGCGCTCTCGCAACTCCGCTTTACCAGAAAGTGTTGAAAGCGAGCTTTGCATTTATGAGTGTACGAAGAAAAGTGAGCTTTGCATTCATCAGTACGGCGAAATGAGCTTTTTTTTTTTTTTTGGCATGTTTGGCGAATTGCCTGTTTTCCTGTCCTACAGTATGTGCTCCTTGCCGGCGCGCTCATTACTGCATCCCCAGGCACTGGGCGCTCAGCAAATACTTGTTCAGTGAATCAGTGAATTAACGAATGGTTTACCAAAGACTTAGAATTTAAATCTTGTGATTTGGAATCACTTGATCCAAATTTTAGTTTAGTTACTGTAATTCTGTAACGAACTGTAGTTCATTCGTCATTATTTATTTACAAACCTTATTTTTCAGAAAGCAGTAATGATACAAATGGGCCTCTCGTGAAGTTTTAACTACGATTTTTAAGATAGAATTCTTCTTTTTTTTTTTTTTTAAAGATTTTATTTATTTATTTGAGAGAGAGAGAATGAGAGAGAGCACATGAGAGGGGGGAGGGTCAGAGGGAGAAGCAGGCTCCCCGCCGAGCAGGGAGCCCGATGCGGGACTCGATCCAGGGACTCCAGGATCAGGATCATGACCTGAGCCGAAGGCAGTCGCTCAACCAACTGAGCCACCCAGGCGCCCCCAAGATAGAATTCTTGAAGTAACACTTTCAGTTCTTTTATTTCACGGATGGGGGCAGTACCATATTTCAAAATGTGCTTCACAATCAATAATAGCCAATGTTTGGAAAAACTATATCCCTTTCACGTGTTTAAGTTGGTATCTTAAAATTTTTCCTTAAAAGAAAAATAACGATAGCTAATGTTTGTTGAGTGCTTACCCTGTGCCAAGTCATGTGGAATGCTTTACACAGTTTATCTTGCTTAATCCACACAACTAAGAAGTTAAAGCGTTGTTATTACCATGTTACAGGTGAGGAAACCAAGGCTTAGAGAGGTTAAGTAATTTGTGCAATGTTATAGAGCCACTAAAGTGATTAATTCTGGATTCACATTTAGGCCAGACCAACTTAACGAGCTAGTCTTTAAAATGACATACACGGGCGCCTGGGTGGCTCAGTTGGTTAAGCGACTGCCTTCGGTTCAGGTCATGATCCTGGAGTCCCGGGATCGAGTCCCGCATCGGGTTCCCTGCTCAGCGAGGAGCCTGCTTCTCCCTCTAACCCTCCCCCCTCTCATGCTCTATCTCATTCTCTCTCTCAAATAAATAAATAAAATCTTTAAAAAAAAAATGACATACGCATAAAGGGAATTACTGTAGATAATTTTATTAGGTATGAAATGGCATCATGGTGATATAAAAAATGTTCATTTTTAGAGATGCATGCCAAAATATGTAAGAGTTTTTTTAACAACAGAAAGAGAAAGGAAAATTGAAACAGATGTGGCAGAATCTTGATAATGGTAGAACTTAGGTACTGAACATAAGAGTTTATTGTACAATTCCCTTATCTTCTGTGTATGTTTGAAAATTTTCCTTTATAAACAGGTGTGTTGAGTTTGGACCAATCTGGTAGATTGAGTATATGTGCTAGATGTTATGAGAATTCTTTACATTTAAACAGTAATTATTTCATGTTTTCCTTTACTTGATTGAACCAGAATTGCTGGGGCAAAGTGTGGGGTAATATTGTTGACTGATACAAGGAATGGGTTGACAGCAAAGACAAATGTCAAAATGAGCTTATTTGTGATTAGCCAATGAAGGTTTTACAAACGGTCCCACTTTTATTTAAGAGTGGCATGTGTGGTATGACAGAAAATTATAGAGGCAGAGTACACAGTAGGCATGAACTCGTTTTAAATATACATAATTTTGATGCCATGTTATAAGCAGTGAATAAAAAATAATTTAACTGTCTTGAATTTGGCAGCAAAAGAAGATACAATTATTTGGGAAAAAATGCTTCAGCTGATTTATGTTATTGATTAGTTCTATTGTGATGTAAAACCACTTTCTCTGTCTAGAACATCGGGTCAGAAGTTGAGATTTCCACTATCGAGAAACAACGGAAAGAGCTGCAGCTGCTTATTGGAGAATTAAAAGATCGCGATAAAGAGCTCAATGATATGGTTGCAGTACATCAGAGACAACTTCTTTCATGGGAAGAGGATCGGCAGAAAGTATTGACTTTGGAAGAACGTTGCAGCAAATTAGAGGGTCAGAAATACATTAGCAGTATCTGTTATATATCTCTATGTGCCAGCATAGTCAAAGGGCTCATGGGTTAGACACAAATATATTTATTTTAGAATAAATATTTTTATTTGAGAGAGAAAGTGCGCACGCACATGTGAGCAGGGAGAGGGGCAGAGGGAGAGGGAGAGAATCCCCAAGCAGACTCCCTGCTGAGCATGGAGCGCAATGCAGAGCTCAGTCCCAGGAACCCAGGATCACGACCTGAACTTAAAACAAGAGTCAGATGCTCAACTGACCGCCACCCAGGCACCCGAAACACAAATGTATTTAAATATTAAATACATTAGGGGAAAAAAGCGGGGCGCACGGGAAAGATAAGAGATAAAATATCTCAACACAATCCCTGCTGCCCTGGAGTTTAGTTTAATTGAAGATAGGAGGCCTTTATGAACACTCAAAATTGAACAAACACAATGTGAGTTGAAGTTGAGCAGACAGTTTATTTTTTTATTTTATTTATTTTTTTAAGATTTTTTAAAAATTTTATTTATTTGAGAGAGAGAGAACGAGAGAGAGCACATGAGAGGGGGGAGGATCAGAGAGAGAAGCAGACTCCCTGCTGAGCAGGGAGCCCGATGCGGGACTCGATCCAGGGACTCCAGGATCACGACCTGAGCCGAAGGCAGTCGCCCAACCAACTGAGCCACCCAGGCGCCCTGGGCAGACAGTTTAAATGTAGAGAGGGTGCTGGAGAGAGCTCCAGTTAACCTGAAGTGTCCCGAGTGAATCTGAATGAAATTAGTTTTGAGCTAGAATATGAATAGAAATGCCATAGGACTAGCCATTTCTGTTGAACTGACTCAAAGATTTTAAATTTTTGGTATTGAACTTGATCTTAAGTATCTAAAACAGTCATCGTTTAAAAATATAGCAGTCTCAAAAATGGCTTGCAAAAATTTTTCTTGTACCATATTTTAATTCTGTCATCCCTTTAGTGCTGCTCTAAGGTCTGAATGTTCTAGTGACACTACATCAATGCCAGACTGTATTAGAAGGGAAAACACTGGATCTGTTTAATAGATAACTCCTTTTTTTATCTTCTGTTACCCAAAGGATTCTTAAACATGACAAACTAAATATGCATAATTTTCCATTTCTTTGATGATCACTTGATTTTATTCTGACCATACCCAGCCACACACATACACGCATCATGTTTGATTTGATTGCACATTAGATGTAATATAATATCTTGCACAAATGTGTTAAAGATGAAGATGGCATTGCATATAGCCAACAGTATCTGGTTTTAAAATAAGAAACTTGGGCGCCTGGTTGGCTCAGTTGGTTAAGCATCTAACGATTTCAGCTCAGGCTTGATCTCAGGGTCATGAGTTCAAGCCCTGTGTTGGAGCTCCAAGCCCAGCGTGGAGCCTACTTAGAAAAAAAGATTCTCATTAGTAACTAGGGAAATGCAAATTAAAACCGTAATGAGATACCGTTTACACTTATCAGACCAGCAAAAATGATCAGGTATTGGTAAAGATATCAGGTATATATAAAGGTAGCAGGTATTTTGGAGCCAAGGGAAGACTCATTGACTGCTGGTGGGAGTGTCAGTTGGTACAACTACTTGGAAAATCATTTGACAGTATCTAGTAAAGTTAAAGATACACATAGCTCATGGCCCCACATTTCCACTTCTGGGAATATACCCATGGGTCAGAGTACAAGTGAATGACCTAAGGATCTTATTAATATGTAGATTATGATACAATAGGTCTGGGGCCTGAGTCTGCATTTCTAACAAATTACCAGGTGATGTCAATGCTGCTGGCTCAAGGACCCCATTTGAGTAGAAAGGCTCTACAAAAACTCTTGCAAAATTACACCAAGATACACATTTAAGAATATTCAGAGCAACATTGTTCATAATAGCTGTAAAGTGGAAACAACTGAAGTGGCTACCAATAGTAGTAATTACATTTTGGCATAATCATGTAATGGGATATTATGTAGCAACAACAGTGCACAAACACCAGTCACATACAACAATGTGGATAAATCTCAGGATCATCTTAGGTGGAAAAAAGTGAAGGGAAGAACTCATAGAGTATAATCCCAATTATATACGGTTCAAATCAAACTGTGTTTTAGGGATGTGGTCATAGGTGGTAACACTATAATTAAAAAGCAGGCAAATGGTTAAGATCAGGACAGTGGTTGGGAAGGTGGGAATTGGGAGACATCGTGTTTAGGAAGTGACATCCGTGGGGCTTCTGGGTTACTGACTGTTCTGTTTCTATACTATCCAGTATCGTGGATTCCATAACACATTCTTTAAAAAGAATTATCCTTTAAAAAATTATTTAGCACACTTAACCTTTTTTTTTTTTTTTTAAAGATTTTATTTATTTATTTGACAGAGAGAGAGAGACAGCGAGAGAGGGAACACAAGCAGGGGGAGTGGGAGAGGGAGAAGTAGGCTTCCCACTGAGCAGGGAGCCCAGTGCGGGGCTTGATCCCAGGACCCTGGGATCGTGACCTGAGCCGAAGGCAGACGCTTAACGACTGAGCCACCCAGGCACCCCATAGCACACTTAACCTTTTAATTGTGTGTTTGAAATGCATTTTAAGCTTCAGATCTGATCAAAGGGTGGTTATTGATGAAATTTCCCTCAGGTGAACTACATAAAAGAACTGAAATAATCAGGTCACTCACAAAGAAGGTAAAAACCCTTGAATCTAATCAGATTGAATGCCAAACGGTTCTTCAGAAGACTCAGCTACAGCTTCAGGAAATGGCTCAGAAGGCAACCCATTCCTCTCTTCTCTCTGAAGACCTTGAGGTTGGTTTTATTTTGTGATAAGATTCTCTAGCCCAAATTCTGTTTCAGGTATTGAGAAATTAGATTTAAATGTTTCCACTAAAATGTATGTGTGTGTATGAAAGTCGCTCCGTCCATCTGCCACCATAGTATTGTGTTCATTTTATGGCTTTGGTTGGCTGCACAGTGCTGAGTTGTCTGGGAGGTAAACCTCATTACCACCTTTTCTGACTGTCAGCCCATTTGGTCTGGGAGCATCTGTCGCTTTATCAACAATGGGTTATTTTAGAAAGTCTCAAAGTCTGAGATGAATAGCATCAAATTTTGGTAGCTTCACATGATGCTTTCTAAATGTGCCTTATCTGATATGATAAACGGTATCCACATCATGTTAGTGGCACATGGGGAATAAAATTTGTAGGACTGATTTTTCACTTTTCAGTTCTAACTGGTCATCAGATATTTTTTGAACTCATGTTTTAGGAGAGGCACAGAGAGCCATTATTTTTGTTATAGCCTTTGTATTATGCTTGTTTCATAATGATAATGCCTTTTTTATTCTTTCAGGTTATTATTCTAGACAGTTTCTAGCTATAAAATAAGTAAAAACTATTCTATTGATATGTTGAATTAAAAAATGAAAATGTAGGGGGTGCTTGGCTGACTCAGTCAGTGAGGCATGTGACGCTTGTCCTTGGGGTCATGAGTTCAAGCCCCACATAGGGCATAGAGCTTACTTTAAAAAAAAAGAAAAGGAAATGTATGAGAGAGAATGAGCAAGATCTCTGGTGTCATTTCTTACAAGGATTCTAATCCCATCCTGAGGGCCCCACTCATGACCTCTTTTACACCTAATTATCTCTCAAAGGAGCATCTCCCAAGTAATATCATATTGGAGGTTAGGGCTTCAACATATGCGTTTTGGGGGGATGCAGTTCAGTTCATAGCAGGAAGTTTTTTTTTTTATTAATAAACTTTATTTCTTAGAGCAGTTTTATGTTCACAGCAAAACAGAGTAGAATGCATAAATTTCTCCTATACCCCCTGCCTCCACCACCAAATGCATCTCCCCTACTGTGGACATTCTGCACCCCGGTAGTACATTTGTTATAATCAGTGAATCTGTTAACACATCATTGTCACCCAAAGTCATAGTTTACATTGGGGTTCACGATTGGTGTTATATATTTTGTGGGTTTTGACAGATGTGTAATGACATGTATCCACCATTGTAGTATTGTACAGAATAGTTTCACTGCCCTAAAAATCCTGTGTTCCATCCCTGTCTCTCCTAACCTTTGGAACCACTGACCTTTTTACCATCTCCATAGTTGTGTCTTTTCCAGAATGTCCTATAGTTGGAATCGTATAGTATGTACCTTTTTCAGATTGGCTTCTTTCACTTAGTAGCATGTATTTAAATTTCCTTCATGGAGATACTATTTAAAAAGCCTCATTATTCTTTTTTCCCAACCAATAAATATATCATGTAGTTCTGGGGTTAAAAAAAACACCCCAAAAACCTGATAAATGAGAATACCCCAATATGAAGTGAAGGTCTTTCAACGTAGAGTAAAAATTACACACACACACACACACACATATATGCGCATAGAGGTTCACTAATGCTACTTTAACCAACTGAGCCACCCAGGCGCCCCCCCCCTTTTTTTTAAAGATTTTATTTATTTATTTGAGAGAGAGAATGAGAGACAGAGAGCATGAGAGGGAGGAGGACTAATGCTACTTTATTTCAGCAAAGGAAGTCTCTTACTCATCCAATTTTCATTCATTTATTTTCTTTTTTGCCAACCTAGAATTATACATAAGAGAGATTGGGAAATAGACATTTATAAGCATAACCAATATGATTCAGGAGGGCAAACATAAGCATTGAGAGGATGCTAGAGGTAATGGAGAGAAAGATTTGTATTTTTTTTTTTTTTTTTTTTGATGACTGCTTACTTGGCTCACTTTGTTACTAAATAAAAGTTAAAGAGAAAACAAAACAGAATGAGCACAGACTGCGGCTAATGCTAGTAATGAAAACTTTTAAATGACTCACTTAGTATTTTATGTGTTGTTCCCTTGTAGGCTAGAAATGAAAATCTCAGCAACACATTAGTGGAACTTTCTGCCCAGGTAGGACAATTACAAGCTCGAGAACAGGCTCTCACTACAATGATAAAGCTAAAGGTAATTCAAAATAATAATACCTTCATTTGCCAGGGCACTTTGTACTTTACAAAGTATGGTCACATACATTATCTTACTTATGTCCCATTGCAAATGAGATGGTAGAGCTACCAACGTTGCTGTCTCTTTTAAAATTCTCATTTTAGGGGGGCCCCTGGGTGGCTCAATCGGTTGGGCATCTACCTTTGGCTTAAGTCATGATCCCAGGGTCTTAGGATCGGGTCCCACATCAGGCTGTCTGCTCAGCGGCAAGCCCGCTTCTCCCTCTGTGATCTTTCTCACTTTCACTCACTCTCAAATAAATAGAATCTTTAAAAAAATAAAAGAAAATAGGGGCGCCTGGGTGGCTCAGTTAAGTGTCTGCCTTTGGCTCAGGTCATGATCTCAGGGTCCTGGGATTGGGCCCCGCCTCCGTCTCCCTGCTCAGTGGAGAGCCTGCTTCTCCCTCTCCCTCTGCTGCTCCCTCTGCTTGTGCTCTCTCTTTCTCTTTCTTTCTCTCTCTGTCAAATAAGTAAATAAAATCTTTTAAAGAAGTGAAATTCTCATTTTAGGGGCACCTGGCTGGCTTAGTGGAGCATGTGACTCTTGATCTTGGGGTTTGGGTTCCAGCCCCACATTGAGTGTAGAGATTACTTAAAAATTAAAAAAAAAAACTTTTTTTTTTTTGTTAAAGATTTTATTTATTTATTTAACAGAGAGAGACACAGCGAGAGAGGGAACACAAGCAGGCTCCCCGCCGAGCAAGGAGCTGGATGCGGGGCTCGATCCCAGGACCCTGGGATCATGACCTGAGCCAAAGGCAGACGCTTAATGACTGAGCCACCCAGGCGCCCCCCAAAAAATTAAAAAAAATCTTTAAAAAAAAAAAAGGGGGGCGCCTGGGTGGCTCAGTCAGTTGAGTGTCTGACTCTTGATTTTGGCTCAGGTCATGATTTCATGGGTTGTGGGGTTGAGCCCCACATCAGGCTCCAGGCTAAGTGGGGAGTCTGCTTGAAGAATCTCTCCCTCTGCCCCTTCCCCTACTTGCGCATGCATGTGCGTGCTTTCTTTCTCAAATAAATAAAATAAGATTCATTTTAGAAATGTTGGAAACAAGTTTAAAATGATGTCCCCAAGACATTGAGAGAGGAGACAGGACTCCACTTTTGGTCTCTGTCTCTGAGGCTCATTCCATGGTTTAGCATGTCTGGATTAACTTGTTTTCTTCCAAGGTATCCAGTGTTAGTTCTCACAAAGTCGTTGATGATCAGATTGCTTGTTAATGTTCTTTGTTTTTCTTTTTTGATGGAGAGAAAAACTGTTAGCGATCCAGCAGTTGCTAGAGCCGCTACCATGTCATGATAGTGATTGACTAACAGTCTCTTCTGCTATAACATGTGTTTGGCAGCTGATGAATAGGGAATGATTTAGGCATAATGGGACCCTCATGCTAGTTCATATGTGCTTTCTCCCTGCATTTTAAAGTGGTCACGGGCAAGCTTTCTTAAAATTGAAGAGAAAATATTAAAGTCTACGGAATTGTCTTTAGTCAAATAGTGACCAATTTAGTGGCTTTAATAACTACTCTGGTTTCCGTTGTGGCAAACTCCTGGTGAGGCTGTGAGTGCTAATGAAGATGCTGGAAAAGAATGATTGACTGGTGTGTCGGCCCTGGCTTTTGCTGAACTGTTTGCATACTTAAATGGGCCTGTTGTTTTTTGCTACCAATCTAATCATGAAGTTCCATTGATCTGCCAGCCCCATTTTTCCCATAAAATCTTCCTGGTGTGAGATGTGCAGACCATGAGCATCTTCAGGAATGCATATATGGTGCTATAGCAGAAACACTTGTCCTTAAGCAGGAGGAAAACCTGCTACTAATAACTATTATATATTATAGCTATTATAATAATAGTTATTCCATGTGAGTGGGGGAGGGAGGAAATTTTACTTAATATATATATATATTTTTAAAGATTTTATTTATGTATTTGACACAGGGAGAGACAGCGAGAGAGGGAACACAAGCAGGGGGAGTAGGAGAGGGAGAAGCAGGCTTCCCGAAGAGCAGGGAGCCTGATGCGGGGCTCGATCCCAGGACTCTGGGATCATGACCTGCGCTGAAGGCAGACACTTAACGACTGAGCCACCCAGGCGCCCCTGATTAGTTGAAACTTAAAAATCTTACAGAACAGTCTTCAAATTTGGTTCTTAGGACAAAGATATTATCGAGGCCGTCAATCACATTGCAGACTGCTCAGGAAAATTTAAACTGTTAGAGCATGCCTTGCGTGACGCGAAGATGGTGGAGACTTGTATTGTGAAAGAAAAGCAAGATTACAAGCAGAAATTGAAGACACTTAAAATTGAAGTCAATAAACTGAAAGGTAAGGAAGAGACATCAATTCAAGCATTTCACCTTGGGCACATACTTCTTCATTTGGGTTCACTTCATCTTGTGATTAAGAGGTCTGTTGCTGGCCTTAGATCCTACCATGAAATGTTCATTTCATTTGTACAGAATTATGCTACAGTATTCATGTTATGAGGTAAATAACAGACTTGGAGGAAACTGTATAATACGTTATATTTTTAAAATAAACTGCCTTTGCTGTAGCGGTTAGTTATTGTTAATTTATGCTTCATAACAACCAGCAACAACATCTTGGTGGTATGCACCCAGAAGCATCTGATAAGCTCAGGTATTAGCCCAACGGGGATTGACTTATCCTGGTTGGGCCCAGCTGAGCTGCTCCTCTGGGGCAATTCTGCTTCCCATATCTCACTTCTCACCAGTAAGCTGGCCTGGGCACTTTTCCCCACGGTGAAGGCAGAAACTTTTTTTTTTTTTTTAATTTTTAAAAAAGATTTTGGTTATTTATTTGAGAGAGGGAGCACCCATAAGTAGACAAAGGGGCAGAGGGAGAGGGAGAAGCAGACTCCTCACTGAGCAGGGAGCCCGATGTGGGGCTTGATCCCAGGACTCTGGGATCATGACCTGAGCCGAGGCAGATGCTTAACGACTGAGCCACCCAGGCATCCCCGAAGGCAGAAACGTAAGAGAAGAAGCAGGGGCACCTGGCTGGCTCAGTTGGGAGAGCATGCAACTGTTGATCTCAGGGTCGTGAGTTGGAGCCCAAAGTTGTGTGTGGAGCTTACTTAAAATAGATAGATAGATAGATGAAAAATAGAAGAAGCAGAAACATGCAAGGACCCGACACACCCTCCCTCTGTTGGCTAAAGCATCATGTGGCTGAGCCCAAAGTCAGGCAGTGGAGAAATATCTGTCCCTCTGGGAGGAATGCAGGGAGGGATGAGGGATTGCCACTAACAACACAATCTGCCAGGGTAGCTTTCGGCGCATGTTTTATTTTTGAAAATTCCTTTTGCGTTCTCCTTTTCTATTTTTGTTCTCAGAGTAACTCAATGATTCATTTCCTTCTGAGTAATGTTACTTAAAGTTTTATAAAGAAGGGGAGGCAAGGTATACCAAATAGGTTAGTCCTATTTATGTGAATGTGGAGGTAGGTGGTGGAGTAAGAGCTTACATTTGCCTACAGAGGGCATGGAGGTAGGCCCACTTTTCTCTGGCCTTTCCCCTCCTTGGCGCAGAGTCAGTGGTCATCGTGTTAGACACAGGCAGACTCCCACTGCGCAGCAAGCAACCTTAGAATGACAAAGCCATGTTTTGGTGGAAGTTACTCTCACCTCTGTCCATAGTGGGGTGCCTCATTGTTAGAAGGTGGAGGAGGGACAGTAGAGTACCCTCCAGACTGAGAAGGCACTTTGAGACTGAAAAGCAAAGCAAGTCACTCCATACCATTTACATGGAGTTTTATTCAGGGTAACTTACTGATGGGGGGATCAGGTAGACCACGATCTTGGTGCTACATACCTACTCTCCACAAATTCACCCAGACCTTAATCCACAGCTTTATAGAACAGGGGGCTTTCTGGTGAGGTCAAAGGGTGGTCATCTAAAGTGGTGCCATGTGTGCACTAGAGGGAAGATCAGAATAAGCCTTCCCGAATTCCATTCAGGGCACACATTAACCTCCAAAGGCCCTGGAGCACGTAGGCGCGAGGGAGGTCTTTGCACGGACATGAACAGGATGGAGTCAGGATTTTCAACACTCCTACACCCTGTGTGAGTGAGTTGCTGTTGAAATTGTGAAAGTTTATTGTGGTCAATTTAAAAGACTCAGCCTTCTAAAATCTTATTCTTATGATGCCCTGACTTGTGGCAAATCATGCGCTTTGTCTACGTTTGTAGCTTCAGCTAAAACCGTAATCACACTATACACCCCTTGACAGCAGAGACAGACTCTGTCATCTCTTTAAAGGACAACAAGGTAATGGACAGGGGAATCGACTCAGTTTGGGTGGACTGGGAAGGTGACTTTGAGGAGAACATTTGAGCAGAAGCTTGGATGTTGGGAAGAACTAACCATGTGAAGATCTGGGCCCAGAGCCTTCCAGGCAGAAGGAACAGCAAATGCACAAGCCCTGGGTGGGTTTTGAGGCTGGGACATGTTCAAGGAACAGAACAAAAGAAGGGGGAGAGTGATAGGCCAAACCAGGCCATTCAGGGCTTAGGGTAGTGATTTGGATTTCATCCTAAGGGAGTTAGGAGGGCTTTTAGGAGAAGAGTGACATGAGCAGATCTTTTACTTTTTTTTTTTTTTAAGATTTTATTTATCTGAGAGAGAGAGCACAAGCAGGGGGAGCAGGCAGAGGGAGAAGCAGACTCCCCACTGAGCAAAGAGCCCGATGCGGGACTCAGTCCCAAGACCCTGGGATCCTGACCTGAGCTGAAGGCAGACGCTTAGCCGACTGAGCCACCCAGGCACCCCACAGATTTTTTACCTTTTTTTTTTTTTTTAAGATTTTATTTATTTATCTGACAGAGACAGGAGAGAGGGGAACACAAGTAGAGGGAGTGGGAGAGGGAGAAGCAGGCTTCCCGCTGAGCAGGGAGCCCGATGCGGGGCTCAATCCCAGGACCCTGGGATCATGACCTGAGCCGAAGGCAGCCACTTAACCGACTGAGCCACCCAGGTGCCCCCAGATTTTTTACTTTTAAAAGATTGCCCTGGTGTGCCTGGCTGGCTGAGTCAGAAGAGCATGTGACCCTTGATCTTGGGGTTGTGAGTTTGAGCCCCACTTCTTTAAAAAAAAAATGCCCTTATTGCTCTCTGGGCAATAGGCTGTAGCAGGAGAGGCATGGTTTGAGTAGAGAGACCAGTCAGGAATAGGGAAGCCTGAGAAGGTCATTGCCAGGGATGCAGCGAGTTTAGATATATGTTGGCTGCAGCTCCGACGGGACTTCACATTAATTGGAAAGGGTGCCGAGGGCATGAGAGGTACTCACAGTGTATATTCTTCTAGCAAATAGTATTTATTCAAGGACTTTTGTTTTCTTCTATTTGTGAAGAGGATCTAAATGAAAAGACAACAGAAAATAATGAACAACGAGAAGAGATCATTCGTCTCAAGCAAGAGAAAAGTTGCCTGCATGATGAATTGGTTTTTACTGGTAAAAACAGATAATTAATTTAAGTGATTGAATAGTTCTTTGTAGCCTAAACTTTCTGTGGTACAACTATGACAGATTAAAGGAATTACACCTCTCTCAAAATAGTAACTTTTTTTTTTTTAAGATTTTTATTTATTTATTTCAGAGAGAGAGAATGAGAGAGAGCACATGAGAGGGGGGAGGGGCAGAGGGAGAAGCAGACTCCCTGCCGAGCAGGGAGGCCGACGTGGGACTCGATCCTGGGACTCCAGGATCATGACCTGAGCCGAAGGCAGTCGCTTAACCAACTGAGCCACCCAGGCGCCCCCAAAATAGTAACTTTTTAAATACACTTGGACCAGGAGGGACCAGGCAGGGAATATTAAAGTTGTCATCATGCCTCCCAGTTAACCCTGTTTCCTCTTCTATAAAATGAGGAGATACAATTGAAGAAGGAAGGATGTTTATACTTCTGCAAATACTAGGTAAAAATTAGGAATTCAACAATTTTCCAGTTTTGCAAATAGATCACTTGTGATTACAGTTGGAAAAATGCACATGTGTTTTGTTATATCAGCATGAACCTGAAGTGATAATGTTAAGGATGAATTTTTCATAATTAAAAATAGCAAATTTATCAGTAGTTTGCCTTAGGCCCCCCTCCAGATAAACATAAAAAATTCCATCTCCCCAGCCACATTCTCCCACACCGTCCCCTATACACCCCACTAGTTTCCACTAGTTCAGACCTCTCCCTCTCCGTTCCTGGTTGAGAATCACTGATGTATAGATCTTATCTCTGTCCCTGCCAGCCAAATTTTATTAGGCTTTGTATTTAGTATGAGGAAAATCATAGACTTGGAGGTGAAGTTCCAAACAGAATTAAATAAATTGACATTTTTGGGGTCTAGTTATATATACCCTCAATTCCCTTTCTTCTAGGAGGAGAATACATTTCTATAAGCTAAAGGGCAAAATGCATTAACATTTTTTCACATAAAATGGAATTCTTAATTTTCATGTCTGATGATAAGGATGGGGAAAATACAGTTTTCTACCATTAGAGGTCACTATTTCTGTTATTTCTAGGATTGCTCTCCCAAAGTTAATCTATTAATAAAAATACATATGTAAATATATATAAAAATATATATGTATATTTGAAGCTTTACAGTTGATTTATAAACAATCTTTGGATCATCTTTTGTGTGCCAGGAACTCTGCTAGTTGCTAAGAAACTCCTAGGCCCACAGAAAATCCATTTATTTTTAGGCTTGGGACGCCTGGGTGGCTCAGTCGGTTAAGCATCTGCCTTCAACTCAGGTCATGATCCCAGGGTTCTGGGATCGAGCTCTGCATCAGGTTCCCTGCTCTGCAGGGAGCCTGCTTCTCCCTCTGCCTGTTGCTCCTCCTTTTTGTGGTCACGCTCTCTGTCTTTCTCTCAAATAAATCTTAAAAAAAAAAATCCATTTTGTGAAATATTTTTTTATCATTTCCTAAGCTGATTTCCTTTTTTTTTTTTTAAGATTTATTTATTTGAGAGAGAGTGAGCGCATGAGTCAGGGGAGGGGCAGAGGGAGAGAACCTTCAAGCACGCTCCCTGTTGGGATCGGAGCCCCACGAGGGGCTCAGTCCCACAACCCATGATATAATGACCCAAGCTGAAACCAAGAGTTGAACACTGAGCCACCCAGGCACCCCCTAAGCTTATTAAACACCTTTTCTACTCATACCACTGTCTCAAAACAGTTTTTGTATGTTTAAATTATAAAAGTGAATTAAGCCTAAAAATAATTTTAAAAGGCTTAACATGATAATATGTTGCCAGGTGCTCTGGCTAAAAATGCACATATTTTATTTGAAGCTGGAAGATGTCTTAAAATTACACTTTTATGTTAAGTTCAGAACTTTTTCCCTCTCATTGAAGATGAAGTTCTTCACATAAGCTTAGAGACATGTTTTCATTTGTTTGTACATACTGCTTATAAGAAGTTTGCAATTAAAGTGAGGATACCAGTTCACATTTCTGGGATCCTGACGGTCCTGTAAATGAGGCCCCATGGGATCGAGTGATTGCCTCAGTTCTCCCAGGCCGTAAAAGGCAGAGCCTTGGCCAGACTGTGGCAGCTGCAGACTTCCAGGCCCCTTTCCCCTGTGCTGTCTTGTTTAGGCTCCTTGCTCAGGCAGTGATCAGCGGAGTCCAATACCTCTTTGTTTTCTGTGACCACTTTGTGAAAATAGGTGGACCACTCCACTTGGGTCTCTCAGCTAAACCCAGCCATGTAGAAAAGTATCTCATCTAGGAAAACATTTATATTTCCAGTGGAGTTGCTTCCTATGCAATAATAGATTATTCTAAAGTCAGGGATTAAGGCAAAATTCAGATATATTTAAAATTACCCTTGAGGGGTGCCTGCCTGGCTCTGTGGGTGGAGTATACGATTCTTGATCTCGGGGTCATGAGTTTGAGCCCCACGTGGGGTGTAGAGATTACTTAAAAATAAAATCTTTAAAAAATAAACAAATTATCCTTGAACTCCAAATAAAGTAGTTGGCTTTTGTTTAGGGGCCATACTGAATTCAAAACAAGTATCTCTACACACTAGGATTTGCACCCAGCATGTCACAGTGCTGTTAACACAAGAAGGGGGTGGAAGTGAGATCAGGAAAGAGTCACAGATGCCTTGTGGGCATTGCTTCTACTGTTAAAGTAGCTGTGATTCCTTTTATTTTTTTTTTCTTTGTGCTTATGATCGAATTCATAAGCTAGATGCAATTCTGCATAAATAATGCAAATCCATTACATTTATATGCTTTCATTATGGTATTGACTCATGTAATACAAAGAAATAAATTCAAAATTGAATAGAAAAGACGTAGTAGTTTAAACCTGGCCACTGTGCTTGTCTTCACATTTTCGATTTTGTGCACAAGGATTACCTTTGAAAGCGAGGTGATACTACAGACCCGCATCTGAAGGGCTGAGCATTAACCATGTTGGGGAGGAGAGAGGGTGCTGTGCGCAGACCCCTGTCACTCTTTCCTCTCCTTGGTCCCCTGACCACGGACAAACACTGCAGAACAGCGGTCCAGTGGAGTTGCAGTCTATAGTAAAGTGCATGCCTTTGTCCTTAAGTGTTTTTTTTTTTTTTTTTAGATTATTTATTTATTTATTTATTTGAGAGAGAGAATGAGATAGAGAGCATGAGAGGAGGGAGGTTCAGAGAGAGAAGCAGACTCCCTGCCGAGCAGGGAGCCCGATGCGGGACTCGATCCTGGAACTCCAGGATCATGACCTGAGCTGAAGGCAGTCGCTTAACCAACTGAGCCACCCAGGCACCCTGTCCTTAAGTGTTTTATGCGATGTCCATATGTGAAGTGATAATAAAAATTTTTATCCTTTTTCATCCATGAGGAAAATGACATGTAAAAAAAGTGTTTTATGAAAGAACCATAGATACAAATTTTTATTTAGATTGCATCAGATTTACTTAAAATTGATTCATGTAGAGGGTTATTTTATACATTTAGCATGAACTTGTTATAAAGATACTGATGTTTTTCTTTTTCTTTTTTTTTTAAAGACTATTTATTTATTTATTTGGCAGAGACAGAGATAGCGAAAGCAGGAACACAAGCAGTGGGAGTGGGAGAGGGAGAGCAGGCTTCCCGCCGAGGCAGGAGCCCGATGTGGGACTCGATCCCAGGACCCTAGGATCATGACCTGAGCCGAAGGCAGACGCTTAACGACTGAGCCACCCAGGCTCCCGATACTGATGTTTTTCTTAAGCATTTATTGTTGATTTCTCACTTCTGTGTGAATCACTTTATTTCTCCTAAAGAATAATATTAATGTTTTTTTTCTGATATTAGCCCTTGTACAGCACTTTATTTTATTTATTTTTTTTTTTTGAAGATTTTATTCATATATTTGACAGAGAGAGATGCAGCGAGAGGGGGGTGGGGAGTGGGAGAGGGAGAAGCAGGCTTCCTGCCGAGCAGGGAGCACAATGTGGGGCTCAATCCCAGGACCCCAGGACCATGACCTGAGCTGAAGGCAGACGCTTAACGACTGAGCCATCCAGGCGTCCCTGTACAGCACTTTAGATTCTTTCCCTCCTCTGGGTTCTCATTTACCAAGTTCTTTTTTTTTTTTTTTTAAGATTTTATTTATTTATTTGACAGAGAGAGACACAGCGAGAGAGGGAACACAAGCAGGGGGAGAGGGAGAGGGAGAAGCAGGCTTCCCCCGGAGCAGGGAGCCTGATGCGGGGCTCAATCCCAGGACCCTGGGATCATGACCTGAGCCGAAGGCAGACGCTTAACAACTGAGCCACCCTGGTGCCCCTCATTTACCAAGTTCTGAAACTGTTTTTAGAATATGACTTTCTTGTGCCCTAACTCTAGTTAGTGGCGTGTCCGTGTTTCAGCAAAGTGTTGATGGTCTTTGTAAAATAATGAAGATTAAAAAAAAAAAATTATCTCTTTGCTGTCTTTTTGCACTGAGAAAAATTGAGTATATAACTATGTGTATTCAAGAGAATTCGGAATCTTAATTACCTATCAGGTGAAGAGTTTTCAAGAAGTAGAAGATCTTTTTTTTTTTTTTTTTTAAGATTTTATGTATTTATTTGAGAGAGAGAGCATGAGAGGGGGGAGGGTCAGAGGGAGAAGCAGACTCCCCACTGAGCGGGGAGCCCGATGTGGGACTCGATCCTTGGACTCCAGGATCATGACCTGAGTTGAAGGCAGTTGCTTAACCAGCTGAGCCACCCAGGCACCCAAGAAGTAGAAAATCTTTAAAGGAATGCTGGGCAAGTTTATCTGCTATGCGGGCACTTCATAAACACAAATATCTTTGGTCTTTGGTCAGTGACAATATATAGGAAGGGCCTGATTGTGAGATTGTATCAGACTCACCTGCATACTGGTAAAAATCATGATTTATTTTTTTATACCTTGTAATGTTAATTTTTTTTTCTGTTGATAGAGGTAATATGTTGTTTGGGTTTTTACAATGCAAATGCATTCATAAGTTACTCATGTAATGTGAAAAAAATTTAAAAAGTAATATGTATTTTATCATGCCGCCCCCCTTAAAAACAGAGAGGAAAACAATTGTCATTAATCCTCCCAAAAAAAGCTTTTTTAAATACTTATGTGTATTTGCTCTCAGACTTTTCCTGTGTGTTTGTGTATACAAACATACAGTGTGATTTGATCATATAGTTGATACAATTCTGAATCCTTTTTTGACTCACCATTAATTATATTGTGAAAATTTTCAGATTTGGTGAAAGATCTAGTCCGAATCACAGATTAAAGCTCTTCCCAGCCATGCATTTTGCAAATTTTAAGTTCAGGAACAAGGGGAAAACAAGTTACTGGAACACTAAATTTTTGGAAATGAAAAGGTTTGTGTTGATATGGCTGATGAAAAATATTTTAATAATATTTGTTCTTAAATAGCAGAGAGAGAAAAAAGGAAAGATGAGTTACTTGATATTGCAAAGTCAAAGCAAGAACGTACAAATGCAGAACTGCATAATCTGAGACAGGTATGTCCCCAGTTATACTGTTCTTACTATTTGGGAAGCATTTATAAACAAACATCAAATTAGGAAAAGTGTGTGTCTGTCAATTTTTGTTTATGGTGCTTTTGGAATCCTAACTACATTAAAGGTATGTCATATTTAGCATAGCTGATAGGATCTTGCTTATGGTAATGAAAGGTTTGGAAACTAGTTATACTAACAAATCTGAGTGCTAACATAGGAAAAATAAAAGCAAACATATTTAGCATATTTCTCTATCACTGATCTGTTTTAGCATTTGAATGTTGGCTCATTATAGTTGTCACATCTTATTGATTTATCAATATCTACGGCAGATTTATGTAAAACAACAGAGTGATCTGCAGTTTCTTAATTTTAATGTGGAAAATTCTCAGGAATTAATACAGATATATGACTCAAAGATGGAGGAATCAAAGGTTCTGGAGTCCAGGTAATCGTAGCAAGATGCTGTTAGTATGATCTTGTATTTTATTTTATCATTCAGTCTATTTATGAAGTACTTACTATGGGCCGGTATCTACTATCATTTCCTATATGGTAGGGAGTCAATAAATATGAGCTAGTAATTGTTGTTATAATCCTGGGTTGTAATGAGACCTGATCTTAGAATTTTAGGCCTGATCCTGATTTAGCCACTTGGTAAAAGAAATTCATTAGTCTTATTTGTGTGTCTGTTGTGTATAAGACTTTGAGCTCAAGTAGAAACCAGAGGTGAGTCATTTACTCTTTCATGCGGACTCAGAGTTTAGTGTTTAGCACTCACTGGGCTGGGAATGGGGAAATAAAGATACATAGGATATGGTAGTTGCCTAAAAGAAAAAAACATGAACGAATGGTATAAATAACTGTAGTAGTTGTTCAGCTAGCTGAGGGTGATCTCTGCTTTTAGCTGGATTTTCCTGTTTTCCTTGTTAATAGAAGGAGACACCTTTTCTTACCTATAATCAGTGTGTGAACTAAACTGGTTTTGTAAAGTTAAAATATAAATATATGAGGTGTGGTTTAATTTAATAGGCATATAACTGTCCCACAGTTAAATTTAGTCTACTTTTCCACACAGAAGTGTGACAAGGAGTCATGAATGGGAACAGGAATTAGGGAAGTTCCTGGCCACCAGGTGTGACCGTGCGGCTCCTTGGCCTGGCAGTTAGTAGTTGCAGGAACCGCTGGAAGGAGCAGCTCTTGCTACACAGAGTGACTGCTGTGCCGGCTTTGCTTTTCTTTCCAGGCCTTCTGCTGGGGGTGTTACACTCTTGCTTTGTGCCCTGGCTGCTGCCACCGCTGGTTCACACCACACCGGCCCGGAGTGCTCGCACAGGCCAAAGCCCCTACCGTATTGGCTATTCCCTTCTCTGTACTTGGTTGCCCCTGGGAGACACTTGGGCTAGATGAGTGAGGCTGTTCTTTAAGAGTGTGGAGTGGCCTGTGCTCTTCCAGGAGGTGGGGGTTGAGTTTTCTGAGGGCTCCGAACTCTCCATGTCCAAATACCTGAAGACAGTTTATGAAAAGTTTTATCATGTTTGTATATATTTTCATTTTATGCACACCTGTCATTCTTACTTTAGACCAGCTTTCAGTATGTCGCCATATAAATATCCAGCAGATAACTGGGATGGCCGTGAATGCTGTATCTTCCCACTGTGTCTCTGTTCCTTGAGTCTCTGTCCCCTTTCAGTCCTGGCTTTACCTCTGTTTACTGTGAAACTAACAGAATTAGGAAGAGGAAATAACAGATCAATCAACAAGTATTTACAGAACACTTAATGTTTGTGAAAGGCTATCCTAAAGTGCCAGGAGGATTAAAAATGCGTCTACATATTAAGAAACTTAGGAGTCTATTGAAAGACAGGATATGTGCATGAGAGTGAGTGAACAATATAGTTAGTTATAATAGGAAGTTTGCTGCCTGATTAAGTAGATGATACACACAGTAAAACGAGGACTGCGGTATTGGCAGTAAGCACGGTGGGAGTTGAGGACGGGAAGGGGAAAGTGCGCATGTGGGCCTGCTGGTCAGAGAGACTTCCTTGCAGTTGGGCTGAAATCAGGCTCTGAGGAAAGAATACACATTCTCCCTTATGTTTTCAGTTCAGACAGATGGGTCTTAATAGGCTTTAGCTCAACGAATAAGGTTCAGGGGAAATATCTAAAGGGACAGTATCAAGTGTATCTTATAACTTCTGCTTTTTGTGATGCCACCACAGCAGAGACATGTGTTTGTCAGACCTTGAGAATCACCACCCAAAAGTCGGTATTAAGAGGGAGAAAAATCAGAAGTCGTTGGTTAAAGATCCAAAATTTGAGACCACGTTGATTCAGCAAAATCGGTCAGACAGGAGCCCTTGTGATCTGTGCAAAGAGAAGAAACGACAGGGTAATACTTCATTTGGGGAAAAAGGTGTAGTTGCTGTCTCATCTCTGTTTACAAAAGACGTACTGGAGAAGCAAAAGTCTTGGTCTCTGGGAGGAAAAATGCAGATCGAATCAGAAAACAAAAGTACATTGTGCAAGATCCATGCAAAGTCACCAAAAGGTAATGGGATCGGGATTCAGAATGAAGAGAAACAACTCTCTGAAACATCCACCTCATTATCTGATGAGAAACAGTGGCATGATGTCAATGTGTACCTGGGCCTGGCCAGCTGTTCTGGTTCCAGACAACCAGAAAAGCTGGATGTTGAAAGTCAGGATGACATAGAAAGGTCTGGAGTCTCCTGTTGCCATAAAAATGAAACCTGTCTTGGGGAGAGTGACATGTATGAATCCAAGTGCTGCCACCCGAGTAACTTCATCATTGAAGCACCAGGCCACATGTCTGACATGGAGTGGATGAGCATTTTCAAGCCTTCTAAAGTGCAAAGAATTGTTCGCCATAAATCTGTGTGTACTTGTTCAGAAGGTGCCGGTGGAAGGAAATACAACTCCGCCACGAGGTTAGTAACATTTCGTACTGGGCGACGCCGATGCTGGGAAACGGAAGGGGCTGCAGTAGCCGCCGAGTGCTTGCTGCTCCGTGGAGAGCGGTGTTTGCGAACACAAGTCGTGTCTGAGGCAGACCCGGTACTCTCTCTATCAGCACGTAGGCTGTTGAGTTTTCGATTGTGCGGAGACCGTATTAGATTCCAGTGAAGAGTTTGTACCTAGGACAGCTTCTGAGGCAAAGGTTTTGTTTGAAAACAAAGCCAGTTGTCATGAGTTGGGCAAATATGTTTTTTTAAAGAAACTAACAGTGGGGTCACTTTACAGAGTAGAATGCTGCCCCAGAGCATTCCTCACCCCTGGATCTAGTGTGAATTGATAAGCTGTCTGTGCAGAGATCACACTCCCTAGACCCCTGATAAGAATTTTGCTGGCCACCTCCCCACCCCGCCCCCGCCCCAATGGCATATTTACATATCCAACTGCTTCTGCCTTTCTGTTCACTTTACATCTCCCAAACTTTCTTTCCTTTTTTTTTTTTTTTTTAAGATTTTATTTATTTATCTGACAGCACAAGCAGGGGGAATGGGAGAGGGAGAATCAGGCTCCCCGCTGAGCATGGAGCTGGATGTGGGGCTTGATCCCAGGACCCTGGGACCATGATTTGAGCCGAAGGCAGATGCCTAACTGATTGAGCCACCCAGGCGCCCCCCCAAACTTTCTTATTTTTTAAAATCATGCAAGAAAAAAATTTTTTTACGTAACAAGCTGGTAAAAGTTAATAGTTTTTTTAAGAGGAGAAAATGGATTAGTTATTAGCATATGCTGCATTATTCAATCTCGTCTTATTGTTAGAATTGCTAACTCTTGTGGTTGAGGGGCGCTATAATAATATTTGCTATTTTTAAAAGCTAGCCCTTGGATCTTAAATTACAGAAAGGACAAAGTTGCTATATTGAGAGCCTTATTTTAATCATCACACTGACTTTCCTAGGACTTATGATAAAAATTTCTTTCTGTTATTTTCATTATTTGGATTTTTCTTTGGCCCTTTGAGGAGCCTGAGTCATTTAAAAATCATACAGATAGTTATTCTGTCAGTTGTGAACTTTAAAAAAAATGGTTGTCCCACTAAATGTTATCTATTCATATTAAAGATTTTCTTTAAACAATTGCAAGTATCGGGGCGCCTGGGTGGCTCAGTCGTTAAGCGTCTGCCTTCGGCTCAGGTCATGATCCCAGGGTCCTGGGATCCAGCCCCGCGTCGGGCTCCCTGCTCCATGGGAAGCCTGCTTCTCCCTCTCCCACTCCCCCTGCTTGTGTTCCCTCTCTCACTGTGTCTCTCTCTGTCAAATAAATAAATAAAATCTTTAAAAAAAATAATTGCAAGTATCAATAGGGCACAGCTGCACATTGTTCACTACTGAACAAACAACACGCATATATATTAAGGGAAAACTTTATGTTAGTTTTAAGAGCATGTTGGACCTATCTTAAATTTAGCATAGGAAAGAAATTCAAATTTAAATTTGGAGTTTTGTTTCAAGACCCTTTTGACCTCCCTGGCTTGAAATAACCCAAACGACCTGTGCTGTGGGCAGAGGTGCATGCCGAGACGGCACATGCCAAACATGTGATTAAACAAAAGATAATTATGTTTTCCTAGTTTTCCTTAGATTATAAGAACTTACTGTGTACCTGCTCTATTATCAGACCACCATTCCGTATGGCAAATAGGGCTCTAGCTGTAGAGGGAGAAGCCGCGGCAGCCTGTTCTCCTTCAGGTGTGGGGAACGTGGGAGGAGGAGGCTCCAGTGCCTCTGGTCTGTTCCAGAACAGCTTTTGCAGTTCACTCCGCTTGAGCCCACACTTTAAGAACATACCAGACGCGTGGCTGCATGTGTCTCTTCTCTAATACTGAGGACTTACAGAAGAATTAATAGCTGACAATGCTGTTCTACTTTCACAAAAGGACTTTTAAAAACCATTAACAAAAATCAACTTCACAAACCAAAAACCCAAAATTTTCACAGGTTTTTTCCTCCCTTTTGGATGATCCTGTCCCTTGAACCTTCTTTTTTTGTTTTCTTGTTTTTGGAAGGGGGAGGGAAATTCTCTGTTCTGTTGTTAACCCTTACACTAAGAATTTTGATTTAATTCTTACTGCAGAGTATATGCATTAATTTATAATATTCCACTCAAGTATTCCATTCAAATCTATAATGTTCTACTCAAACTTGAGCTTCTTCATTAAAAAGAAAAACAACTTTTTGGGGGGGGGGTCCTGTTGAGATACTTTTAAGTATAAGACTATGGGTGATAATATGTTTGATACTGTTTTAAGTTGTCTGTTTCTGTTTGGTTTTATTATTTATAGTGAGCTAATTGCCATCCAGCATTCCCACTGTTTGGGTTCTTCAAAATCTGCCACAAGAGAGGATGAGAAATTAATAGAGACAGAGCCCTCTTCTGATACAAAGAAGTCACCTAAGATTTTGTTATTCAACAAAGAGGCACCATTATCCACTGACAAGGTTTGTGTTTTACTTAGAAATACCCAGTTTATTCAAGCAAAACTTCTCCCCAACGTACTTTTAATTCTTCTGTAGTACTGCTTTTAGTGAGCTTAATTTTGGTCATTCTTCAATTTTTTTATTTTAATTACGTCATTTAACCGAAGTCAGAATTTCCTTAAAATATTCTCCTATAGTTAAGTCTAGTTAAAATGTCCCTCAGGCCCTCCAGGTGATAGGTAGATATATATATACATACATGTATATATATATTGAAGGCTATAACTAGCAGTGTGCACCTACATTCAGATTTAACATGTTTACATTTGCCATATTTGCTTTATTTTTCTTGTTGGAGAAATAAAATGTTACAGATAAAGTGTGAGTCCCATGCACCATTCTCCCCATGCCCCAGCCCCCCACCAGTTAATCACTATCCTGAAGTTGCATTCATCCTTGTTCTTACACTTTTACCTATGTAAAAATATATATTTAAGCACTACATAATGTTGTTTTATGTTTAAAATGTACATAAATGGGGGCGCCTGGGTGGCTCAGTCAGTTAAGCATCCCAGTCTTGATTTTGGCTCACGTCGTGATCTCAGGGCCCTGGGATTGAGCCCCACACTTAGGGGGGAGTCTGAGATTCTTTCCTTCTGCCCCTCCCCCTGCTCTTGCACACTCACATGTGCTCTCTCTCTTAAATAAATAAATCTAAAAAAAATAATAATAAGGGCGCCTGGGTGGCTCAGTTGGTTAGGCGTCTGCTGTTGGCTCAGGTCATGATCTCGGGGTCCTGGGATCAAGTCCCACATTGTCAGGTTCCCTGCTCAGCGGGGAGCCTGCTTCTCCCTCTCCCTCTGCTGCTCCCCCTACTTGTGCTCTCTTGCTCTCTCTGTCAAATAAATAAAATATTTAAAAATAAAATAAAATGTACATCAGTGGTAAAACACTGTCTCTATCCTTTTGCAATATGATTTTTTCCAACTTTGTGAATATTTTGTGACATTTATCCATGCCCATACTTGAAGACTTAGTCTCTTCATTTTGATTTTTGACTGATGTGTAGTCCATTGATTTGAATACACTCCTCCTGATGGTCAGTGAGGTTGTTACTACATTGTCACTATTATGGATGAGCCAGTCAGTATCTTCACCATAAATGGGATCTTCATTGCAGCTCTTTCACAGAGAAAATAAGTTCAAGTGAACTTAATTACTTTTGGTCTTATTTGGGGGGAAGATAATGGGCTTTGAAATTGATCTGAGTTCAGATCTTTGTTTTGCTTTGTCTTAGCTCAATGACCTGAGTAAAATTATTTACTTTCTTTGAGCCTCAGTTTCTTATGTGCAAATATGCAATAATAACATTACAGTTGCTTGGTCTAAATGTGATACTATGGGGCCTAGCCCCTAACAGGTATCTGATGAGTGTTAGTTCTCTTTGTTAAAAATCGACTCTACCAAGTGTTGACTAGAATCTGGAGCAACACAGACTTTCACTGGTGGTGGGGAAATTCATTTGGGAAAACACGTCGATAATTTCTTAAAAAGTTAAATATACACCTATCATATGACCCAGCTATTCCACTCCTAGGGAAATGGAAGCATGTCCACACAGGGACTTGCATGTGAATATTTAAAGCAGCTTATTCGTATTAGCTGGAAAACTGGAAACAACCCAAATACACATCAATAGGTAAAGAGACAAACTGTGGTGTATCCATGCAATGGAGTACTTCTCGAATAAACTCCTTACACATACGTAACATGGGTGAATCTCGAGATAATTACTGCTGAATGAAAGACGCCAGACAGACAAAAGTATGAAAGTGTTTATATAAAATTCCAGAAAATGCAAACTAGTCTCTGGTGACAGAAAACAGATCAATGTTGCTTGAGAATGAGAGGAGGGACTCAAGAGGAAGGAATTCCAAAGGAGCGTAGGTTTTGATGAATAGGATCCCTGTACATTGTGGGTATGGTTTCAGGTATTAGCTACTATCTTTTTTAGCTTCCATGAGACCTTTTTTTCTATATTTGTACCTATTTTTCTGAGGCAATATATGACATTGCATGCTTATGTAGTCCTTATATACATACATATTTAGGTTTGTGCCTGTGTGTCTGTGTGTATGCACGCATGCACACACATATCTTCTAGATCCAGGTCACTAGTGATCATTTTTGTTCCTGGAAAATTAGAATTGACTGGAGCCCAGTGCAGGGCTTGAACTCACAACCCCAAGATCAAGACCTGAGCCTGGATCAAGAATCGGATGCTTAACTGACTGAGTCACCCAGGTGCCCCTAGAATTAACTTCCCCTAAATTTATTTTTTTTAAGATTTTATTTATTTATTAGAGAGAGAGTGAGAGAGAGAAGGAGCAGAGGGAGAGGCAGAGACTCCCTGCTGAGCAGAGAGCCCTGACATGGGGCTCGATCCCAGGACTCCAGGATCATGACCTGAGCCAAAGGCAGACACCTAACCGACTGAGCCACCCAGGCGCCCAGAATTAACTTTCCTTAATGAAAAAATTAGTCTAGGTACTTTTGAGAGTTGTCATGCTAAAACTTCAGGTCCCAAAGTTGAAAATTAAACAAGAACAAACTAAGGCACATATCCACATATTTTAAAAAGCTTACAAGCCTTTAGTGTTAAAGCTACATTTTGCAAGTATTTTGGCTAATACTAATTAATTAGCATGCTAATTATGGCTTTAGAAAGTGGATTTAGGAGAGCTAAACAATGCCTAGGATTCTTTTTTTTTTTTTTTTTTAAGATTTTATCTTTAATCTTTACACCCAGTGTGGGGCTCGAACTCACAACCCCAAGATCAAGAGTTGCATGCTCTACTTACTGAGGCAGCCAGGCACCCTAGCCTATAATTCTTTTTATCACATAGATGTTACTTAATTTGTTGTAAGTTCTGTTGAAATCAAATTATTTAGCCAAGTAGGTACTTTTTTTTTTTTTTTTTTAAGATTTATTTGTTAGCGAGAGAGTGTGCACAACTGGGAGAGGAGAGGGAAAGAGAATCTGAAGCGGACTCTGTGCGGAGCGCAGAGCCCGACTTGGGGCTCGATCTCATGACCCTGAGATCAGGACCTGAGCCAAAACCAAGAGTCAGACAGTTAACCAACTGAGCCACCCACGTGCCCCTAGCTAAGTAGGTTCTAAGAAATAAATGGAGTTTGGTTATTCTAGTATTTAATGTCCTGCTTTGATATATAATATGTAAAGTCAGAGAAATATTAATGGGTAGTTAACATTTGTGTTTATAACATTGTACTTGTAACTATAAACATTTAAAAATGCTTCCTGATTTCTTGAATGCTTACATTGTGTTGTTTTCCCAGGATGACTTTTCGCCCACAAGCAAGCTTCAGCGTTTGCTGGCAGAGTCTCGCCAGATGGTTACAGACCTGGAGCTGAGTACTCTGCTCCCCATCAGCTCTGAGAATCTCAGCAGCAATGCCAGAAACGTATGTGGTTACTTTTCTTTTGACCCCATCTGTGTATCTGAATATTCCACTGAGTACTCATTTGCAAATATCACTGGTCGGGCATCCCTTTCTATTAGAAGGAAAGTTCCTTTATGTCTCTGAGGCAGAGAGGTAGCACACTGGTTTTAAAGATGAGGGAAAAATCACACTCCAGTGTCACTGCACCCAAACTTCCTCTTCCTGATTGCCTGGGTTTATGAATATAAATTCTTGGGGATATAAAAAATATATGTTTTACTATAGAAAATTTCAAATACAGAAGTAGAATATTACAGGGCACCTGGGTGGCTCAGTTGGTTGGGCATCTGCTCCCTGTTTGGTGGGGAGCCTGCTTCTCCCTCTCCTCTGCCCCTTCCCCCTGCATGTGCTCTCTCTCATGCACTCTCTTTCTCTCAAATAAATAAATAAAATCTTAAAAAAATAATAAAGTATCTTTTAAGGGGCACCTGGCTGGCTCAGTCAGAAGAGCATGTAACTCTTGATCTCGGGTCGAGCCCCACATTGGGTGTAGTAAGATTAGTAAAAAAAAATAAACTTGAAAAAATAGTAAAGTCTTAATCACTGACAGGTCCTTCCCCATCTTCCTTCTTACTTCCTCCTTTTTCTTCTCCTTCATTTTTTTTTTTTAAGATTTTCTATTTATTTATTTGACAGAGAGAGACACAGCGAGAGAGGGAACACAAGCAGGGGGAGTGGGAGAGGGAGAAGAAGCAGGCTTCCCACTGAGCAGAGAGCCCGATGCGGGGCTCAATCCCAGGGCCCTGGGATCATGACCCGAGCCAAAGGCAGACGCTTAACGACTGAGCCACCCAGGCGCCCCCTCCTTCTTCATTTTTTTAATACCATTAATTTGTGGAAGAAACATTGGGTCATTTGTCCTGTAGCATTTCCCACATTCTGGGTCTTGCTAACTGTCCTCACTGTTATTTAACACATTCCCCTATCCTCCATGATTCCTAGGAACTGGTATTTAGATCTAGTGACTTGATTAGACTTGGGATCAGTTTGGGGTTTTTGTTTGCTTTGGCATCACTCCTTCACTGATGATGCCGTCTGCTGCGTATTCCATCATACCAGGAAGATCCTAATATCTGGTTGTGCTACTTGAGGATGTAAAGCTTGATCGCAAATTCAAGAGTTTGTCAGCCTGAGCTTTTATTATCATAAAGTTCACTTAATGATTTTAGCATTCTTTGATTATTATTACTCAGATCTATTATTTCTTTATTTAAAAAAAATTTTTTTTTAATTTTTTATTTATTTGAGATAAAGCGAGAACAGGGAGGGGGGCAGAGGGAGAGGGAGAAGCAGGCTCTCTGCTAAGCAGGGAGCCAGATGCAGGGCTCGGTCCCAGGACCCTGAGATCATAACCGGATCTGAAGACATATGCTTAATTGACTGAGCCACCCAGGTGTCCCTAGATCTATTATTTCATTAGGAATTGCAAAATAGTAATTCTAAATCTGTCATTCCTTCAGGGAGTGTTTTACAAATTAATTTTAATTGCTTTTTCTGAGCATAGTAACATTTCAATAGCAGTGATGTAAGTTGCTTTGTGGATTTTATAGCCTTAACATAAATAGTGAAAAGAACAATGAACTTGAAATCAGGATACTTGGGCTCCATTTTCCTAATCTGTCAAGTAAGAGCTTTGAACTGATGCTTTAAATTTAAGAGACCAGGTACATTACTTGGGTGTGCTGTGTGCATAAAGATAACTTGAAAGCCATCAAATTAAATTTTTTGTATCCCTGACTGAAAAACTAAAATAAAAAAGGTCTGTAAGAACACTGAAATACTTCTTTTAAAATCAATTGTTTGTAGCCTTTAATGCATATATACTCATTCTTTAATGAAAACTAGTCCATGGGATACCTGGCTGGCTCAGTTAAGCGTCTGCCTTCAGTTCAGGTCATGATCTCAGGGTCCTGGGATTGAGTCCCGAGTCAGGCTCCGTGCTCAGTGGGGAGTCTGCTTCTCTCTCTGTTCCTCCTCCCAGCTCGAGTTCTCTCTCTCTCAAAGAAAGAAAGAGAGAGAGAGAGAAAGAAAGAAAGAAAACTAGTACAGATCACTAGTTCAGTAAGTTTAGATAAACGTATATATGCTCATGTAACCGATATCCCAGTCAAGATATAGAACATTTCCATCACCCCAGAAAGTTTCTCCATGTTCTTTGGAGTGGACCCCTCCCTTAGACCCACCCCAGGGAACTACCAATCTGATTTTTATCATGAGAGAATACTTTTGCCTGTTCTATAACTTACTGTAAATGCAGTCATACAGTATGTAGTCTTTGTCTGGCTTCTTTCAGTAGAATTATTTTGAGATTCCTCCATGTCGTCGTATATGTTGGTACCTCACTCCTTTTTATTGCTGATTAGTATTCTGTTGTATGAATAGACCACAGTTTGTCTATTCACCTGTTGATGGGACATTTGGGTTGTTTCCAGTTTGGGGTTATTACAAATAAAGTTGCTATGAACATTTTTATATAAGCCTTTTTATTTATTTATTTATTTATCTATCTATCTATTTATTTATTTATTTTAAAGATTTTATTTATTTCTTTGAGAGAGAGAATGCGATAGAGAGAGCATGAGGGGGGGAGGGTCAGAGGGAGAAGCAGACTCCCCGCTGAGCAGGGAGCCCAGTGCGGGACTCAATCCCGGGACTCCAGGATCATGACCTCAGCTGAAGGCAGTCGTTTAACCAACTGAGCCACCCAGGCGCCCTATAAGCCTTTTTTTTTAAAGATTTTATTTATTTGAGAGAGAGCGAGCAAAAGCGGGGTGGGGGGAGGGGCAGAGGGAGAGGAAGAAGCAGACTCCCCGCAGAGCAGGGAGCTCAGTGTGGGGCTCCATCCCAGGACCCTGAGATCATGACCTGAGCCGAAGGCAGCCGCTTAACTGCCTGAGCCACCCTATATAAGCCTTTTTTAAATGGACATGTTTTTATTGCTCTAAGGCAAATACCTAGAAGTAGAATCACTAGTTATAGGACAGTCATATGTTTAACTTTTTAATAAGCCACCATACTGTTTTTCAAGGTGGTTTTACGTCCCTGCCAGCAGTGTGTGCAAGTTCCAGGGTCTCTGCATCCTTGCCAACACTTGGTTTTGTCAGCTTGATTTTAGTTAGCCGTCCTAGTAAATGTGAAGTGGCATCTGGTTCCTGCTTCAGTTGTATTTTCCTGATAACCTGATGATGTGCATCTTTTCACATCCTCATTGGCTCTTCAGGTATCTTCTCTCGTGAGGTGTCTGTTCAAGCCTTCTACCCATTTTAAGTTTGAATTGTTTCCTTTGCTATTGAATTGTAAGAGTTCTTAACATAGTCTGCACACACGGCCTTGTATTTTGTCAGATATATCATGAATATTTTCTCCCAGTTTGTGGTTTGCCTTTTTATTTTCTTAAGTGTCTTCTGAAGAGCAGAAAGGTAAAACTTTGATGAAGTCCAGTTTATCAATTTTTTTCAAATGGTGCTCTTTGTATCCTGAGAAATCTGCCCCAAGGGTGTGAATATTTTCTCCTCCTGAAAGTTTTAAATTTCTGTTTAGGTTTATGGTTTATCTCAGTTTAATTTTTTTTTTTTTTAAGATTTTATTTATTTATTTGACAGAGAGAGACGCAGCGAGAGAGGGAACACAAGCAGGGGGAGTGGGAGAGGGAGAAGCAGGCTTCCCGCCGAGCAGGGAGCCCCATGCGGGGCTTGATCCCAGGACCCTGGGATCATGACCTGAGCCTAAGGCAGACGCTTAGCGACTGAGCCACCCAGGCGCCCCTATCTCAGTTTAATTTTTGCAGGAGGTATGAAGTAAGGATCAGGTTCATTTTTCTTCACATAGATATCCAGTTCTAGCACCATTTGTTGAAAAAACTGTCCTTTCTCATTGAATTACTTTTGGTGACTTTGTTGAAAATCAGTTGGTTGTATGTACAAGGGTCTATTTTTGGACTCTCTGATCAGTTCTATTGATCTGGTTGTTCTCCTTAGACCACATTGTACTGATTATGTAACTCTGTAGAAAGTCTTGAAATCAAGTAGTATACATGCTCTACTTTGTTCTTTTTTGCAAAATTGCTTTGTCTCTCCTAGATATTTTGAGGTCCATAGCAGTTTTAGAACCAACCTGTCAATTTTTATAAAAATACACTCTGATATTCTGATTTCATTGAATTTATAGATAACTTTGGGAAGAATTGACTTTTTTTTTTTTTAAGGTTTTATTTATTTATTTAAGAGACAGAGAGCACAAGCAGGGGGAGTGGCAGAGGAAGAGGCAGACTCCCCGCTGAGCAGGGAGCCTGATGCGGGGCTCGATCCCAGGACCCTGGGATCATGATCTGAGCCGAGGGTAGACACTTAACCGACTGAGCCACCCACGTGCTCAAGAATTGACATTTGTGAACAGAGTATATATCTCCATTTATTTAGGTCTTTCTTCATTTCTCTTAACCATATTTTGTAGTTTTCATAGGTGTCTTGTATATCTTTCGTTAATTTTATTCCTATTACTTTGTTTATTGATGCTATTATACATGATACTTTAAATTTCACTTTTTTTTTTTTTTAAGATTTTATTTATTTATTTGACAGAGAGAGAAACAGCGAGAGCAGGAACACAAGCAGGGGGAATGGGAGAGGGAGAAGCAGACCCCCTGCCGAGCAGGGAGCCCGATGCGGGACTTGATCCCAGGACCCTGGGATCATGACCTGAGCCGAAGGCAGACGCTTAACGACTGAGACACCCAGGCGCCCTAAATTTCACTTTCTAATTGTCTGTTGATGGTATGAAGGACTACAGTTGACTTTTGTAAATTGTTCTTAACTAAATTCACCTATTCTGGTAGGTTTTCTGTAGATTCTTAGGATTTTCTACATAGACAGTCATGTCATTTATAAATAAAGAATTTCTTTTTCTAATCTTTAGGTTATGTCTTTTTCTTACCTTATTGCTCTGGCTAAGACCTCCATATC